AAGATATTAACATCTAAAGGAGGAGGAAAAACACATCTAAAACCTTTTGAGTAGGTAGATTACTTTTAGTTACTTGCTCAATTTCAAAACAAACATCCTTGCTATTTTCAAAAACAATCACATACACTTTCAAAACACTTTCCAAACATGAAATATTTTCAAAAGCTCAACACTTTGCATACATTCTTACGAACGAGAATCATTGCAAAGTTTTCCTAAACGATGGCATCTTTTCAAAATACTTTCAAAACCACACAAAAGCACAATTTTCAAACAAAAGCAAGTGATCTAACAAGTAACTAAGAGCCCATGGAAAATCATGGATGGAAAGGGTGCTAATACCTTCCCTTTTCATAATCTACCCCCCGAACTCAAGAAAACATCTCGAAAGGTCTTTCCTGTGCTTTTTCACCTTTCATTATTGGATAAAAGAAAAGTCGGTGGCGACTCTTGCTAAACCACGACATTTGCGAACACAAACGCAAAACCCTCAAGTCAGTTCTCCCACTGTATCATAGAACTGGCGACTCTGCTGGGGAAATTTATCTAAAGTGGGGTTACCTTAGGGTTAGATCATATTTACTTGCTTATATTGTTTGATTTGCTTGCTTTATATTTTGGTTCCTTGTTTGGGTTACTGTTAAAAAATCCTACACCCAAATTTGGGGACACGTTTTAGGTAAGTAGCAATAAACTGTGAGGGAACTGTGTGGGGTATACCGACACGGTTGAAGCAGTAGCTACGTTGATGTGGCACTTTGGTTGGTACCGGTAACCCTTGAGTCAATCAAGGAGAGTACGGGGCCTCCGCGTGGTGTCATAAAGCATCAACTGACCTTAGAACCTTACTTGACCAACTTGGCCATTAGGACGTAGCGAGATGACCGACTTTGGTGCAGTCCGAAGTTGGTTGATACTCGATGCTACACTCATTGAGGTTTGACTCTTGAGTTTTGTTTGATTGCGATTCAATCGCTTATCAAACGAAACTTGGGGGAAAGATCAGTGATATTGAGATCCCTTAGAACCCGGTTACTTTTAACTAGGACATGTTGAGCCAACTAAAACTTCAAGAGGGTACTTACCTGAAACCCCATGCAAGCCTAAACCGAGGACTTGTTTGCTTTGTATATGCACTTGTACATAAACATCATAACATCATAACGTCATAACATCATAAACATCATAAACATCATAAACATCACTAACCATTTCAAGGATTTTTAGGATTTATCTTTGTTCTGTTTTGTAGAACATGGCCTCCGCTCGTAGGAACACTATCCAAGTCAGTCTTGTGAGGGTACCTCCACAACTCAAGGATTTAGTATCAAGGGTCCCTGAAGATTCCCCGTTCACCAAAAGACGTGGACGAATCCTTAGTTTGGTTACCTCAAGCATTGAAGAAGAGATGATAAAGGTGCTTGTCCAATTCTTCGACCCTTTGCATCATTGCTTCACTTTTCCTGATTACCAACTTGTGCCCACTTTGGAGGAATTTTCTCAACTTGTAAGGATACCTATTCTCAATCAGTTACCTTTCAAGGGTATCGAAAGAGACCCCAAACCTGAGGAAATTGCACGAGCTCTACATTTGCAACCATCTGACATAGTAGCAAATTGGGTAACAAGGAGTGGTGTTAAAGGGTTACTAGCAAAGTTTTTGTTGGAGAAGGCTCAAGAGTGTTGGAATATTTTGGATCTACAAGCCTTTGAGGAAGTTCTGGCTCTTCTCATCTATAGATTGGTACTATTTCCAAATCCTGACCAATTTATAGATGTGAATGCGATTAAGGTTTTCATATCTCGTAATCCGGTGCCTACGTTGCTTGGAGACATATTGCATTCTCTTCACTCTCGCACTTTGAAGAAAATGGGGGCTTTGATATGTTACACTCCTCTGTTGGCTAGGTGGTTTATTTTGCACCTACCTCGATCAGTGGTGAAGAATGAACAAGGTATGAGATGGTCTAAAAGATTGATGTCACTTTCACATGCTGATATTCGTTGGTATTATCGCTCCTTAGAAGACATTACCATCATTGACCACTGTGGGGAATTCCCTAATATCCCTCTACTTGGCATTAGGGGAGGCATTACTTATAACCCGTGTTTAGCTTTGCGACAATTTGGATACGCTAGAAGAGATGGTCCTCATGAGGTACTCATCCAAGGAATTTCATTTGACTATAAAAGCGACACCCAGGGTTACCGCCAAAGATTTATACGAGCTTGGGATATGGTTAACAAAGTTGATAGCAAGACATTGGGGCGTAAGAATTCCATTCCTTTGGAACCTTATCTTAAATGGGTAAGGGCTCGCGCTCAAAGTCTCAAGATGCCTTATGAAGCCGTCTTACCTGTTATCATGGAGCCAGTAGTCGAGGGGGACATTCCACATACGATCCTCTATCCTGATATGCCTACTTCTCTTGAAGATTTGCAAAACGCTTGTGTGATACAGTGGGAAAGAACTTACTGTTTTTTGGAATGCTGGTTTGTGTTTTGCGTTTATTTTTGCAAAATTTCGCAGTAAGCAAGAGTCGCCACCGTCTTTTATTTTATCTAACAAGGAAAGGAAAAAAGCACTGAAAAATTCCTTTTTTGAGATGTTTCTCGGGTCCGGGGGGTAGATTATAGAAAGGGAAGGTGTTAGCACCCATTCTATCCGTGGTTATCCACGGGCTCTTAGGTACTTGCTCAAAGTGTTTTCAAATTTTGCTTTTCTTTGTGTTTGTGGGTTCGAAAGAGTTTTTGTTTTGAAAGGTGTAAGTGCGAAAAGTTTTGTTTTGTTTTAGAAAGAGAAAGTACTTAAGAACCATCTACCTACTCGAAAAAGGAATTAATCTATACAAATGTCCTTTAGACAATTCTATCCCACTATTGATGAGTAGGTAGCACCGTTATTGGAGTTTAAGGGTCAATTCGATTAAGGGACGTGTGTTCACTAAAGCAATGTTAGGACGCCTTAGCGGTAACCCTAATGTCTTAGATCATTTTTCTGAGGCAACCGTTTCGAGGCAACTATGATCTTTGGACAAGAGGGCGACCTATAAAACTTCTTATACTCAATGACCACGTTCGAAGGCAACCAAGTGAGGTGTACCCTAAGAGTGCGCATGTGCGAGTGTGTTATTTTCAGTTAATTTGTCTTTGTACATGTCAATGGTTATCTATGTTGATTTTAGATTTAACATTTGATCTTGTCATGCATTCCCTATTATCAAACATCTAACAGTTTATAATTTGCAGAAATTAAATTGCGGAAATTAAAACTAAACTATTACAAGGCGTCGGGTATTTACATCGCCAAAAACAAACCTTGAAATTAAAATGCGGAAAGTAAATAAAGCGGTAAAATAATTTAAAGTCCTAATTAAACTATTACATTCCGGGAAACAGATACAATATTGAAATCAAATGGAACGCGTACGAGAAATTGAATCAGGCGAGTTTTAGGGTTTTGACCCTTTGGAAGAAAGTGATTTTTTTGTTATTTTTTGAATGAAAAGGAAATAAACTAAGTTAATTAAATAAATTAATTAATTAATTAAAAAAAGGATATTTTTGGATTTTTGGATATTTAAAGAAATAAAAATAAATTGATTAATGTTAATGAAACCTAATCGTCTAAATTAATTTTTAATTATTGCAAAATTATTAATGTTATTTCCTAATTAAACTAAATTAATTGAATTAACATTTATTTACGAAAATAAAGTGCTGAATTTAATTTTAATAAATAAAATATGTTTTTTGGTTTTTGATTTTATTAAGAAAAATATTAATTGGTTAGTGATTAAAAATAATTAATAAAACAAATAAATAAATAAAATGAAAAGAAAGAAATAGAAATAACCAAGGGGGTTTGGGCCTGATTGGAGGTGAGATTAGCAATCTGATGGCCCATTTACACGCAGGCCTGGTGGACTTTTCTGATTCTCCATGCGCACGTTGACTTTGGCCCATGGTAGGCTTCCATTCTGGACCACCAGATCTGGCCTGGGACCATCTGGCAGATGATTGGATGTAGGGATGGCAACGGGTCGGGTCGGGTGCGGGTTTCACACTACCCACACCCGCACCCGAAATCATCACCCGAACCCGAACCCGAACCCGAAGGCTATTCGAGTGACAAAATCACACCCGCGCCCGCACCCGTTGGGTTCGGGTTTTTTCACCCAAACCCGAACCCGAAGGCTATTCGGATGACAAAATCACACCCGCGCCCGCACCCGTTGGGTTCGGGTTTTTTCACCCAAACCCAAACCCGCACCAAAAATCAAAAAAAAAATTACAATTAAAATAAGGTCTCTTTACATTGTCTTCAAGAAAATGCAATCACAATTATCTTAACATAGTCTTCAACATCTTAACATTACAATTAAAATTAAATTCTACAATCAAATTACAACTTTTCAACAACAACAAGCTAATATATTACAACTTTCTTGTGTAAGATTAGATATTCCTTCCGGCTCCGGAGTTGTGTTCACTTGATCTATTTTACCTATTACAAAGAAAATATATTTCACATGTTAAGAAACACTAATAGATATTATCATCATAATTTTAAATTGTAATAACAAACATGTGAAACTTAAAACATATAAAACATGTAACTTAATTCTTGGTAATGCTGAACTTTTAAATTGTAATAAGAAGAATCCTTTAGACCACTTCTTGATACATACAGAGATGTAATAGCTTACAACACAGATAACATATCGCTTTTAAATTGTAATAATTTTAACATGCCATATTCTTGATAATTTATCATGTTTGCAACTGGAATAAAACTGCCTATAATAATGTTTGTCTACTAACTTTCAGCATGCTTGCATGCGCGTTAAATATCATGTTTTTGAACTGTCTAGAAACATAAGCACAACACTAAAAGAACCGTCTAATATCAAAAGCATTAGTGCAAATTAGTCGGGGCAACAATGGTGGAAGATAGAAACAATAATACTCACCATGTTAACATATAGAAACAACAACTTCTAATCTTCAAAATGGTAACCCAAACAACCTTCCATCAACTCAGCTGTATTAACAAATAAATTGATGTTAAATAAAACACTAAAGCTTAAAACTTCTACACTAAATGAAGTACAAAATACCTTCATCGTCTGACTCCATTTCATTCAACACAGTAGCAATTTCTTCTGCAACTCTAAAAATTCCTATATATATTATATAACAAGAAAAATTAGTAATATATTATTTGCCAATGACATACCAAAGTAGTAATACATTATATAACAAAAAATTAAGGTAGAAAGTAAAAATAATTTGACAATGACATACCGTTATTCTCAGCAGTCCATAGCCAACTCCTAGCACACATCAAAGCCTCTACGGTAGTCCAGTTAAGTCGGCTATGATGAGGACTCAATATTCTACCACTATTACTGAAGGCCGATTCAGAAGCTACTGTAGAGATAGGAATAGCTAACACATCTCTTGCAATTGCTTGAAGTGTTGGATACACAACTCCATTTACCTTCCACCAATTCAAAATGTCAAATTCTGGAGTATTTTTTATAACTGGCTCTTTCAAATAATGATCTAACTCATACTTAACACTTGAACTTGAGTCTTCGGCAACGGCAATTGTCTCAACGTATGCATCAAATTCAGCCTCATCATTAATAATAGCAGTTGTACCAATGGATGGAGCAGTAGGTTGTGCATCTCTAAGTTTAATCTGTTGATAATCATTGAGCAAATCATAACACATGTCTTTGATTCGACTAACTTGTGCACTTGATTCTTCTCCATACAACTTAGGAAACCAGAAATTAAGTACAACCATCTTCTTCCTAGGATCCAAAACTGCAGCAACTCCCATCATATCATGAACACCACTCCAATAATTTTGAAAATTTTCCATCATTCTTGTGGCCATCATCTCAATAATTGAATTGGAGGACTTCTTCCATTCCTCTATTGCCAACTTAATCTTACAAATCTTAGGAAAGTACGAGTTGGCAGTTGGATATTTTGTACCAGAAATCAACTCAGTTACTTCATTAAATAATTTTAAGCACCCACAAACATCTTTAGCAAATTGCCATTGTGAATTAGTTGGAAGACAAGTGTACAAAGACTCACGTTGCTTCAACCGAATAAATACATCCTTGTACTCTATGGCAATATCAAGCATCTTATATGTGCTATTCCATCTTGTTGGACAATCCAGAGCTAACTTTCTAGTGCAAATAATTCTCAATTGTCTAGCGGTATCTTCAAATTTTTCATACCTTTTAGGTGTAGCACTCCAAAATCCTACACTATCCCGAATATTTTCTATGCCGTCCTTAATCACTTGTAGCCCCTCCTGAACAATTAAATTTAGGATTAGCGCACAACAACGCATATGTAACAAAGACCCATCCCTTATTAAACATTCCAACGACAACTTATCCTTAATTTTCCTAATCATTGAGTCATTTGTGCTACAATTATCTAAAGTAATCGTAGAAAGCTTTGAATCAATGTTCCAGTCCATTAAACAATTAACAAGTGCTTCAGCAAGTCTTTCACTAGTGTGAGGGGCTGGAACATAAATGAACCTAACATAATATTTACAAAAAACAAGTCTTTCACTTATTGTCATTAAGAACAAAAAAAAAGATACAATTAAGTTATAAAATATAAATATTGTTACCTCAAGATTCGACTCTGTAAAGTCCACGAGCCATCAATATAGTGAGCCGTAACCGCCATATACCTTTTTTTTTTGTTGCTTGAAGTCCACATATCTGTGGTAATTGCCACTCTCCCTTCATGGTTATCTAACATCTTCATAGCACATTTTTTCTCAAAATCATAAACTTTCAATACCTCCTTCTTGATTATGTTTCGAGTAGGAACTTTAAACAATGGTTGGAGAGAAACAAAGACTCTTCTAAGACCAATGTGATCCACAATTGATAGTGGATAATCGTGCATAATAATAGCTTCAGCAATCAACTTCTTCACATGTTCTGGATCATAAGTTCCAATTCCTAACTCTTGCTTTCCTTCTGAGATAGTCGGTAGGAGAAATGGTTGTCCTTTGTCATGGTTTCTAGTCTTGATCTTTTTTTGAATACAACTCAAGAGATGTCCTTTCAAGTGATTTGTTCCATTCTTTGAAGTGCCACTAAGTTGTTTTTTACACCAGATGCATTCAGCCTTATCTTTTCCATTCACTTTCATCTTTTTAAATTCTTGCCACACATTAATTCTAAGTTTCTTTGATGCAGGTTCTAAAATTGTATCAATTTCTTCTTGTTGCCCAATATCAGGTTCAAGTGTCGGATTCAGATTAGAAGATACCTTCTGAGTTGGACATGTACTTTCTTGTGTAGGATTAGATGCTCCTTCTGGTTCCGGGGTTGTGTTCACTTGATCCATTTTACCTACTACAAACAACAAGAAATTTCATAAACATCCCACTTCAAGAAAATAACAAAATAGTAGAAACCAACACAGTTGGAGAAAAATGAATCTCTACTTTCACAGGTTGGAACAATGATTATGTTTGAACAAGTAACAACATACATTTACATGGCTGAGCAGCTATTGAGTTACAAAAAAAATCTCTACCGATCAAAGTTCTTTACAATTCATTTTATTTTCTAAATAAAATTTCAATTTCTTTAAGCCTAATTTGTGATGACAAATCAATAAAAAAAAGGGAAACCATTTGCTAAAACTGTTTCTATTGTGTCTTCTTGTATTAACCAAAAATCATAATGGTATAGATCTTACTACATGTTGCAGAATCAACCATTCCAAAATCAAAATATTCAAAAAAAAGTGCTGAAACTTTCAACGGGATTTAATTCTTCCAGCATTGAAGCTGCCTGAAAGTAGTTTGCAACATCACTCAATACCAAGTAATACCAAAATATTCAAAAAAGTGTTGAAACTTTCATCGTGCTTGTGAACCAATCCCAAGTAATACCAAGGCATCTGATTGTTTGGTTCTATTCTAAGTGCATCAGACAACATGCTTTTTGCAGCAGGCAACGCCTTTGTACCCATTTTGTGAATCAAAGCAGTCATTAAGATTTTGTTAGGAATGTGGTTTGATTTAATTAGTGCAACATTAATAGAAGCATTGAGAGCTTCTATATTTTGGTAGCGTCCTTCTAACAAAATACCTGATATAGAAGTATACAAAAGAATAAATAAATATCATACAATTTGATAATTCTAAGCTTTTATTGACAAAGGATCTAGCCTTGCCTTAAGTGTGCAAAATTGCTGCAATGTACTCCTTCAACACCCGATTTCGATATGCTGGAACCGAGAAAAACTTTAGGAGTGTCTCAAGCTGAGAGACAAAAATTAAAAGATTTTGGTTAGTGAATTCTTCAATAAAAAATTCATTTTGAGTAGAAAAATGTACCTACCAACGGTGATTCAAATATATAACCCAAGGGAATGCACAAACAATAATAATTGTAAGAGTTGAAGAGTGGGAGAAAAAAGAAAGCCTTGCAAAGGGTGCATTTTATAGAAGAAGGCGGAGTTTGGTGTTTGGAGAAAACAACTTTGGCTGGTAGCACAGAATATCAAAACATATTTAGAAAACAATAAAAATGAGTGATTCATGTACCTTTTAGTGTGTGTATGACAGATGGTAGGTATATTTTAGCAAACAGAGGATATCCTGAATAGGTTTGGCTGATATTTAATCAAACAACAAATAAAAATGACTTTCCTAGCTAGTAGTAGTGACAGACAGACAGTCTAGTTCCCAATCCATTGGAAGATGCTATTCTTCTTTCGACTCAACCTTCTACACTCTGCTCATCAAATTCCAGATTCTCTGCCAACAAATTTTGCTATTGTTGGAATCAAAGTCAATTGGTCTCAATCTTTTAGCTGATTTCAAAGTTCACGGAGAACAAGTTGACTACAGAGATAGAGTGTTTGGGTTTTTCAGAATTCAGTGTTCATTAAAACATAGACAAAACGCAAACTGGATTCAACTTCTTGTTTGTTCTATCGAATATCGAGTCTATATGGTAACAATAGTGCAATCCCTTGTTTATAAGAACGCTAGGCACTTACAATAATCCAGATCATTCATAACAAATCATTAACATGAAAAAGTTATTTACAAGTGATAGAATTGTGTAAACTGCAGTTAGTCTAGCATATGATAGACAGAAGTTCAAATGCTTTAAATCGCCCGAATCCAAACAAAACTATTCACAATTCACCATGTCGAACCAATTTTTAAAAACATTGATTGAATCAGAACGGTTATTCGGATGTGAATCCATTCCAGCATATGATGTAGATTTTCATGTGAGACTATATACCAGAAATATATACAAAATGTGCAATTCTACAAATAAAAACTAGAAAATTGAAAGAAGCAATGCATAGTAAACTTGATTCACAAAATTTACGAGAAACGTGTAACAATCTATGGTGGCCACAAATCGCAGTGAGGAATGAAAATCTGAAAAGAAAAATAAGCAAGATATAGAAGGAAAACCTTCTAGCGGAGTTTCTGGCTGTTACGGCGGTCAACGAGGTACTCCAGCAGGTTTTTCCGGCGAGGTTTTCGTTTGTACGGTGGATTGAGTTGAGTGTTACTTCAGTCCAAACCAATTTGTTTCTTTCTAATTCAACAAAAGAGCAAAGGGGGGATTTTGTTGTTTTTGATGGAGGTGCTGCGTTTTGATTAATAGCTATGGATGAGTGATTCATGTACCTTTGGAGAATGGCGAGAAGAGGATTGTATGAAGAAGATGACGGAGGAGTTTGTAGGCACCGATGAAGAGGCGAAGGAGACGGAGAAACGAACTAACAAAAGTGACAGTCTGACAGAGGTGACGAAGGTGACGGAGGTGGCGTAGGTGACGATGGCGGTGGCCGGTGGGTGCAGTAAAGTGAGCGTGACTGCGTGAACTTGAAAGTTGAAAGTTGTAAACCCTACATTTTATTTTTAATTATTGAAATATATATATATATATATATATATATATATATATATATATATATATATATATATATATATATATATATATATATATATATATATATATATATATATATATATATATATATATAGGGATAGTTTTGTAATTTAACATATAAGCGGGTGTGGTTTCGGGTTTAAGTTATCCCAAACCCACACCCGAAATATCGGGTGGCACCCGAACCCGAACCCAAACCCAGTCAATTCGGGTTTCACCCGTTGACTCGGGTGCGGGTGCGGGTGGGGCCCGCGAGTTTGGGTCTGCTTGCCATCCCTAATTGGATGATGGTGTATGGTGGATCACAACTCCTGAAACGCGTTAGATTTCCTGAAGAAAAATAATAATATGCAATTGGGGGACCTGGGATTCGAACCCAGGTCCTGTTAGCCATTGGACAACACGTCTACCACTGCGCCACTGCTTTTCAATTGTTAGTGGAATACAAATAAAAGATAATATACAAAAATGCGTAATTATGCCAGAAATAAAAAAATAAAGCGCGAAAATTTGAATGGAGCAATAGGATGGGGACACGTCTTCGTCCCTGTCCTCAAGTTTATACAAAGATTACACGCGGATTTAAATCCGCAGGAAAACGCATAGGTCCATTCCAAAATCCATCTCAGGCCATATAAATGGAAGGTGATACTATGGATGAACTCGTCTCGTTCCCCTGAGCAAGATGGTACCCTTCTCACAAGCCAATTGTCCCTGTAATGGAAAGCCCTAAAAAAACCCTAAAAAACCTTTCAGTGGCGTTTTAGATTATAGGTCAGATAAATACAATCAAATAACATGGAAAGCTTGGAAATTGTTTGGTGATTGCAAATATGCCATTAGTTTCTTGGAATGATACGTAAATTTTGAAACACGAAAGCAAGTTTAGAGGGAGGTCGCGTGTCACTTACAGTGCATTTGAGGGGGTGAGAGAGCTTGCTTTTGATTGCTTCTGACTCAGTGGATGTCTAGCAAGTGATTGGCGTTGAGATTTGGTTCTGAATTGGCCTCTATGCACGATTTCAGATTCACACTTTTCCAAGTTTTCTCAAGTTTGGTTCTTGTGATTTTGCATCCTATAACCTCTCAAACTCGTGCCTTTGGTTTGTATATGTATGCAGCATTGGATTAGGTCAACAATTTGGACTTGAATCTTTGCGCATTGATGTTTTAGGATTTGATTTGATCCTCCATTGAAAACCTTCCAACTTTGTCCAAAATCCAATATTTTGTTCATGATATGGCTTGATACGGATTTGATCATGTCCATGATGACAATTAAGACCTATAACAATCAAAAAGATCCTAAGTGATCAATATTTGGATTTTATTTGATTTAAATTGATTTAAAATGAATTAATTCAATAAAAAATCAAATAAAATAGAAAAATTAATAAATGGACACAAGGATGAAGCTAGGACACGTGTGTAGTGTTAAAAGATCAAATCAAGTGGAAAATAATGGGCCCGTTTGGAAAATTTTGAAGTTTTGAGGATATTTGACTTTTGGCAATTTTGCAAAAATGCCCAACTTCAACAATGCATAAATTCTTCAATTTTAAACTTTTGGAAGTGTTATTGGACTTTTTAGAAAGCTTAAGATGTCCTATAACCAACCCTTTTGGTCTCATCTCATTTTGATATTCCATGCTCAGGTTATAAGCTTTGGCAAAAAAGGTGTTTTTGTTGACTTTCAAAAATGACCTATAATGTCCAAATTTGTAACTTTTTGTGAGTGCATTTCTTGATCTTGGGGTATGAAGATGGATTGTAGTAAATTTCATCCTATTAAAAATGAGCTTTTGATGGGTCATTTATCATAAAGTATGATAAAGTTATGCTTGGTCAAAGTTGAGTTGACTTTTCCTACAAAACCCTAATTTAGCAACTTTTGAATCTTGATGAATTTTGAGCAATCCTTGATGAATGATGATCAAACCTTGATAAAATGATGAAATATCCTTCAAAATGAGAATGTTTACAAAAAATATTGAAGTTTGACTATTTGTAGGTCACAGTTGACTTTTGCCCTAGCACAGTCAATTTTTGGACCTCTTGAGCAATTGACTGACCAAACTTCCTCTGCAAGGCTTGAAATTTGACATGGATGAACTTGAGAGCATATTAGGACATTGGGGAGCACTTGAGGTCATTTGGATGCAAGGACCTTGATGCAACACAAAACCCTAATTTGAGATTGACTGCGTCAAGAGATGATTTGACTGTCCAACTCTTGAGCAATCTTGAGCCACTTGGAGTTTATTCTTGAAATGTCTTGGGAAATATGAGAGGGAAAATTTTGGGGTACAACAGCTGCCAATGTTCAATTTTATTAAACCTGAGGATATAGATTGGCTTTCGGGCCTTTCGTGATCCGAAGGTGGAAGATGATTGAACACTAAAGTGCCCAGAAATTTGCACTCGCATGAAGTGGTATCAGCCTGGTGATGTCGGGAATGGGCTTACAGATGCCATTTGGAGACTGTTGATAGGAGGTATGAACTTCGACTGGAATAAGAATCAGGGAGATCTTAGCGTCGATCTGACTGAACCATAGAAGGTCTTGGATTAACTTTGACTGGATAAGAATCAGAAAAATCTTAGAATCGATTTAACTAAACTGGACAAAAGTCTTGGAATATCTTCAACTGGAATAAGAATCAGGGAGATCTTAACATCGATTTGACTGAACCAAAGAAGGTCTTGGATTAACTTTGACTGGATAAGAATCAGAAAAATCTTAGAATCAATTTAACTGAATAAGACGAAAGTCTTGGAATATATTCAACTTGAATAAGAATCAGGGAGATCTTAGCATCGATCTGACTGAACCAGAGAAGGTCTTGGATTAACTTTGACTGGATAAGAATCAGAAAAATCTTAGAATCGATTTAACTGAACCGGACGAAAGTCTTGGAATATCTTCAACTGGAATAAGAATCAGGGAGATCTTAGCGTCGATCTGACTAAACCAGAGAAGGTCTTGGATTAACTTTGACTGGATAAGAATCAGAAAAATCTTAGAATCGATTTAACTGAACCGGACGAAAGTCTTGGAATATCTTCAACTGGAATAAGAATCAGGGAGATCTTAGCATCGATCTGACTGAACCAGAGAAGGTCTTGGATTAACTTTGACTGGATAAGAATCAGAAAAATCTTAGAATCGATTTAACTGAACCGGACGAAAGTCTTGGAATATCTTCAACTGGAATAAGAATCAGGGAGATCTTAGCATCGATCTGACTGAACCAGAGAAGGTCTTGGATTAACTTTGACTGGATAAGAATCAGAAAAACCTTAGAATCGATTTAACTGAACTAGACGAAAGTATTGGAATATCTTCAACTGGAATAAGAATCAGGGAGATCTTAGCGTCGATCTGACTGAACCAGAGAAGGTCTTGGATTAACTTTGACTGGATAAGAATCAGAAAAATCTTAGAATCGATTTAACTGAACCGGAAGAAAGTCTTGGAATATCTTCAACTGGAATAAGAATCAGGGAGATCTTAGCGTCGATCTGACTAAACCAGAGAAGGTCTTGGATTAACTTTGACTGGATAAGAATCAGAAAAATCTTAGAATCGATTTAACTGAACCGGACGAAAGTCTTGGAATATCTTCAACTGGAATAAGAATCAGGGAGATCTTAGCATCGATCTGACTGAACCAGAGAAGGTCTTAGATTAACTTTGACTGGATAAGAATCAGAAAAACCTTAGAATCGATTTAACTGAACCAGACGAAAGTCTTGGAATATCTTCAACTGGAATAAGAATCAGAGAGATCTTAGCGTCGATCTGACTGAACCAGAGAAGGTCTTGGATTAACTTTGACTGGATAAGAATCAGAAAAATATTAGAATCGATTTAACTGAACCAGGCGAAAGTCTTGGAATATCTTCAACTGGAATAAGAATCAGGGAGATCTTAACGTCGATCTGACTGAACCAGAGAAGGTCTTGAATTAACTTTGACTGGATAAGAATTAGAAAAATCTTAGAATCAATTTAACTGAACCAGACGAAAGTCTTGAAATATCTTCAACTGGAATAAGAATCAGGGAGATCTTAGCATCGATTTGACTGAACCAGAGAAGGTCTTGGATTAACTTTGACTGGATAAGAATCAGAAAAATCTTAGAATCGATTTAACTGAACCAGACGAAAGTCTTGGAATATCTTCAACTGGAATAAGAATCAGGGAGATCTTAGCGTCGATCTGACTAAACCAGAGAAGGTCTTGGATTAGCTTTGACTGGATATGAATCAGAAAAATCTTAGGATCGATTTAACTGAACCATACGAAAGTCTTGTGAGTGCATCTTTCTGAGGAATCCGCTGAAACTGCCCTCAATAGATGTAGTTTTTTAGGGGACTACCAGGTCATATAAGTAGTCAACGGTGTTTATTGATTCGTCTTTCCCTGGAAAGGTAAAGAGTTAGTCATATGCAATGTCATGATGTATGAAATTCATGATATATATCAAGCAATGATGCTTTCAAAATAAATGAGATTATGTGGTATGATGTGTATATGCCTGTATCATGATGTATGGAAATGTTATGTTTCTAGCTGGGGAAAATAAATCCCAGATAGCTGTTGAAGAATAGAGCTGGATTCTTCATTTCCGTTGGGGATTGCGAACGAAGCGAATAAACCTGCAGGAGAGGATGACTCCATTGGGGGAATAAACTGATGAGGAGATTAATCTGATGAGGAGATTGACA